AATACGCACAAATGAGCATTAATACTATTAAGTTCAGCAATAATATATAGTGATGATTATCACTATAATATCATTGACTCAATTACTAATTTCAAAAACTGTCTTTTTAACTATTTTTTAGCAAGATATTGTACCTAAAGTGTCTGAAATATGTTTTTATGCTGTTATTATTACTACTCTCTTAATACCTACTAATTTTATTAATAACTTTTTTTTATTTTTATTTTTTTTTATTTTTTTTTTTTTTTATTTTTTTTTTATTTAGCTGTTTAACAATAAATAATCAAAAAAATATAAATACAAGAAAGAAAAAATATGTCCGTAGAACAAAGAAGACAGTAAAGTCTTGTCAACAAGCACCGTTTTTGTATATGCAGTATAAAATATAAACTTTTCTTTTTTACAATGATCTTTATAAAATAAAGAGTTAAACAGACAGGGGCTCAAAGAAGATGAAGATGACAATACGTCATCGCAATCTTTTCATAGAGCCCCTATATACACTTTCCATAGAATATAGATATTAAATTAAAAACCCTAGTGGGCATAAAATTGCTGTGCTGATCAGTAAGTCAAATAAAGATAAAAAATAAAAAAATTAGAAAATAAATAAAATTCCTTGGTGATTTCTTTAAGCACAAAAAATTTTCAAATTTTAAAAATTTCTTTTTTTATTAGAAACTAAATGAACTTAATGACTTTGCCATACATTTAAATCCTTTTTGATAGATATTCCATATATTTGGACCTCGATATGCAATGCTATATTCAGTATATTTATTAAAGTTTTGAGGCAGTTTATATGTGTTACTTATATTTGCTCTTAGATAATAGTTTTCATTTATGTTTATTTCAAACTTGTTATTAAAGTTTGCAGGAGAGATATTATTATTGAATTGATACATAAAAGTTAAATGCTGATAGATATTTATTTTAAAAACATCCATCATTTTCATATCTTTCATTATAGGTTCAGCATGTTCACGCTTATTTTTATAGTAAATGATTCTGCACGCATGTTTTTGTAGACTATAAATTTTTTTAAGTTTTGATGGTTGCGTACTTGCCCATGATATGTTTGCATAGCTGATGAAGCAATGAATTAGTCCAAAGTAAATTAGTTTAAGACTTTGTTTATTGATATATGAGCGAACTCGATACATCATACCAATTATATTATTGATTTTAGATTGAATATATCTTATTTGAAGAAGCCAGGATAACTTCTCATCAACAAGAATTCCTAAGAATCTAATACTGGCTTGTTTTTTGATTAAGTTATCATTTAATATAAGGTCAGGCAACTTAAGAGGAAGGTTTTCTTCTTGTGTTTTTTTGTGGAATAATATATAGTTTGTTTTTTCTGTGTTAAGTGAGAGTTTGTTAGCCCTAAACCAATTATTTACTTTATTTAGTTCAATATTCATATCTGCATATAATTTCATGATATCACTGTTAGTAAGAAATAGATTTGTATCATCAGCAAACATGACTGAATTCAGTTTTAAAGATGCATTGCAAAAATCATTTATATAAATTAAAAAAAGGAGTGGACCAAGGATAAATCCTTGGGGAACTCCACATAAAACATTTAATACTCTGGATTGTATATTACACACATATTGTTTTCTATTCGTAAGATAACTTTTAATCCAATTGTAAGTTTTATTAATTATACCATAGTGCTTTTGTTCTCATACTTTTATTGTTATTGTTAGTATTGATATTAATAATGTTCTTCTATCTTTATTATTAAATTGTTATTTTCATTTATAACTATATAAGTATTATTATTACTTTTTTAATTTTTTCTTAAATTTGTTTACTACTTATACTATATATTTGTTTTTATCACAATTAATGCTATTATCTAATATTTATTGTCTAATATTTTTATTGTTATTGTTAATATTGTCATTAATAATATTCCTCTTCGTTGTCATCTTATTATCAGTGTTATTATTTATATAATAATTATTATTACTATTATTGTTATTATTATTACTATTATTACTGTTGTTATTATCATTATTATTGTTATTATTATTATTATTATTAATATTACTAATATATATTTCGCCGATTTACAAGTTTATGCAATACAAATATATAAATACATGGCTGGGGCAAGAAGAAGACAAGTTCAGTGTTATTACCAAGCCCCTTTAAATAAAAATGTCAATAATAAAAATACAAAACAAAGTAACTCGTTAAATAAACGTTAAACAAAACGTTGCGTTAAAATAAAATAACGTTAAATAAAATGTAACGTTAACTAAAAAATTAAAATAAAAAACATTTTACGCTATATTACAGTGTAATATATCCAAAAGTATACGAAAATTTTTTTAATTAATTAATTTTTTTAATTAACATAATTTTTTTCCTAACTGGTTTTAGATTTATAAACTTTTTGAATTTAAATCATAACAGATAATACACGAATAACAAACAAAAAAAAAAAAAAAATTTTTAAACATTTTTAGTACCTTAATGTGTCATTTATATATGTATAGTTTTTTATTTTAAATTAAAATCAACGCCATAATGTACAAATTGAATAACAATATAGAATATATATTTAAATCATATTTATAAAGAAATAAAATAAATAGACAAACGTTATAACTCCTAATCAAAGGCTTTAGAAAAATTTTAATTCGTTGACATTTATTAAAAGCTTTTGCTTAAGTTTGTTTTTATATTGTTTAATAGAAGAAATAGTTTTTAACTCATTATTCAATAGCGTGTTCCATAGTTTAGGACCTCTGTTTGCAAGGAGGTCCTAAACTATGGACACCAGGCAACGTTTGCATAACTTAGTTAGCTATGAATAAATGAAAAATAAATGTATTTTAAACAGGTTTGATTTAAAAATTGCTTAGCTTTGTAAAGTAGACCAATATTTTTGGAAATTTTATTTTGAATTATATTTATGTGCTCCTTCCAACTCACATTTTCATCAATAACAACACCAAGAAATAACAATGAACGCTCTCTTACTATACAAAAGTTATTTACAACTGAAATTGGAAGATTAAATGGGATGAGTCTCTTTTCATGAAGACGATGGAAGAAAGTATATTTTGTTTTTTTTATGTTTATGGATAATTTATTTGCTATAAACCATTCACTTAGTTTTGCAAGCTCTTTGTTTACTGTTTCAAATAAAGAATTAATATCCATATCAGAATAAAATAAGTTAGTCTCGTCTGCAAATAGGATTGAATTTAAGATACTTAAAAATTTATTTAAGTCATTTATATAAATGAGGAATAAAAGGGGCCCTAAAATTGATCCTTGTGGGACGCCGCAGGAAATTGTCGCTAAATCCGTTTTATTATCATTATAGCAAACTGCGTAATTTTTAGCAAACCAAGACATTTTAATGACCACAACAGTCATGATATTTAAAACATTTGCTCATCAATTTTTTAAATTAAGCATAATAGTATTCGATATATTTTGTTTAAATTAGACTGTTTTCTTTTAAATTATTTATAATCTAACAAGCAATAGGTTTGAACAAAAGATCGCATTTTACCAACTAACAGAACTTTAAATTAATTTATTCTGTGACGTTTACTAAAATAAATTGAAGTATAAAGACTATATTAGGAACAAGTTTATAAATGGGTGTGGATTAAACTTACCACGACCCGTATCGTACAATTCACGACAGCTAGTTTTATTTGTAAGCCTATGAACTGATTCCGACTTACAGATATAAGGTTGGCTTAACTTCTTAAAAATGTTTATATTTTATAAATTCGCACCAACTTTTTTTTTAAACCATCAATAACTATATATTTTTATAACTTTATTCTATAACAGACACCTATTTATCTACTCTGATTGAAAAGTTCGAATGGATCATTTAGTTTTTAATTCTACGTCATCTAAGTAGATATATATCTAAATGGACTATGATAACTTTAAACTGAGATAAAAATGATCAAGTTTAGAAAAACAGACATAAAAATGAAAAAAGAAAGTATAACAACACGAAATTTTAGGTCGAAAAATTTTTTTTTTTTTGTCGTTACCCCAAAAGTTTGCCCAAAATATTTATTGATAAAGTTAAAATAAAAAGAGATTTTTTTACTAAATTTTAAGGAGTGGTTCTCGACGAGAACATTACATGGAAACCGCATATAGACTATATTTGCTTAAAAATATCTAAAAGTAACGGAGTCTCAGATGATTTATAAACTTTAAAAAGAATATCTTTGAGATGATCAAAACACTCGATAATTATGTCACCATTAATTCCATCAGCTCCGATAGCTTTTTTTTTCGAATTCGAATTCATCAATTATTAATCGCTCGCGCCGTCAGATGGTCGATAGCAGGTGCTTAATAATATATTTTTAGATGTTTTGTTTATAATTTCAATAGTTAAAACTTCTTTATCGCCTTTAGAAACCCATAAATCATTCCTAACTAGATGCGTGATATTTTCATTTATGTATATAGAAACTCCACCACCGTTTATTAACTTGTCTATTAAGCGAAATCAATTTAAAATGAGGAATATAAAAATCTGTAAAATTATTAAGGTCATTTGAGTTTAACCATGTTTCAGTTAAGCAAATTATATTAAAAAAGTCTTTTGTTTCAACTAATAAATTTAGCAATTTTTCAAAATTGCAACTGAGGCTTCTAATATTTATATGAACAATTTTAACTTTATGCGCATTTCTGTCATTAAAGTATTTAAAAAGAAATTCTTCTAATTTATTTGGGAAATAATAGGAGCAATCTGTAAACGAATTGACAAAAAAATTTACATAAGGGTCGATGTTTTCATTAGTCATAAAATTATTTATTTCAGTGAAATTAAAGCTAAGGGATTCAAAGTCGTTAATTTCAGCCATATTTGTTATTGGGAATATTTTATTAGAAAGATTTCTTTTTAAAGCTAGGTGGTATGGTAACTAGGTGGTATAAAGTTTTTGAAATCTCTGCAAAAAATTACATCATAACTAAAAATGACATACTTACCTTCTTTGCGCAGTTTTGCTTTTGCAGTTAACATCTTCAATTTGGGAAACTTTGACCTCTTGTGGGCACATTGGATGCGAGTTTGATGTTGCAATACGTTTTCTGGTATTCCAATCTCTGACAATAAGTTTATCGTACGGTATGTAAGCATATTTACCAGCCTGTCGTTCGACTTTCATTCTGTCGCGTAGTTTCTTTCGTATTAGGTTAGTTTCCATACAGTAGTCTTCGGATATGTAGATGTCTTTGCCTTTTAGTTTGAAAGAATTCTTGAGGATTTCGGTTTTGTCTTTAAAATCTATAAGTTTCAGGACGATTGTTCTGTGTTTTTTGTTTTCAATTATCCCTGTCCTATGCGCCCTTTCAATTTTAACATTATGAACCCCTAGGTAATCGTTAAATATTTTTTCAACTTTTAGTTCACAATCATTCCAGCTTTCGTTGTCGTTTTCGGGGATACCATCAATCATTAGGTTGTTTCGCCTCGATCGATCTTCAATCTCTCTAAGTTTGTTGTTTATTTTTGAAAGCTCATCACAGTTGTTGTTTGATTTGATATTCGATAAGTTAACATTTGTAATTGAATCAATCGCGGTTTTAATTTTTTTGTTAAATAGGCATTCATGAATGTTTAAGCTAATTTTAATTTCATCAACTTCATAATCAATGCTATTTTGTTTGAGTTTTCTAAAATGTTACGCTCCACTTTATCCAAGCGATCGTTTATTATTTTAGTGTTTGAACTAACGATGTTAACAAAAGTGTTTTCCTGGTGTTTTAGGATTTCTACGGTCTCAGTTTTGAACTTCTTGAACATTTCCTTTATTATTATTTTTTTTTTAGGTGCCCCAAGAAGTCCTTACGGTCTTATCACAGAGTACCGCGGAAGAGCATTTAATAGGAAGTTCACGCCTCCTTCCTAACCGATGTCGCAAAACTTGCCCAGAGGTGGGGTTTGAACCACGAGTCTTACGTTTCTGAGGCAAGTGCGCCACCACTGCGCCACGGTTGCTCAAATTAGAAGCTCTTCAAGTGCGTCTGTTCACTTCAAAATCCAAACGCAAAAAAAAAAAGTTTCAAGTCCTGACTACGAAAAAACTAAGTATAGTCAATGCATCAGTTAGTAAAAGACATTAACTAGTTAAAGGGAAAATAACAACCTTAACAACATAATATTGGGGTTATATCTTGAGTTTAGGCAGTTCAACTATTACTAAAATTGATACTTTCTTGGCTCTGATGGCATAAAAACGCCACTTAAATATATATGTTAGGTAAAAACCTTGACATTTGTGCTTACTTAAACAATTTACAGTATGTTTTAAAATGTCAAACATAATATTGTATACCATTATGTATAACATTATGAAAGTAACATAATTTCGAATAACATTTATGTGGTTGAGATTGTTTAATAAATTCAAATTTTATAAATTCAAAGTTTAATGAACTTAAAAACAACAATAACTATATATTTTTAGTTTCTTAGACAGCATGTTAGTTGTAAACTTCCTATAACAGACACCTATATATTTTTAATCTGATTGAAAGATTCATAAGCTCATTTAGTTTACAACTCTACGTAATCGAAGTAGATATATATCTAAATATACTATGATAACTATAAACTGAGGTAAAAATAAAAAGAAGATGAATTAGTGTAGAAAAAAATGAAAATATGAAAAAAAGAAAGTAAAACAACAGGCAAAAATAGTTTTGAACTTTAAAAAGAATTTCAAGTTCTCACTACAAAATAACTTAGTATAGTCAATGCATCAGGTAGTAAAAGACCTGAACTGGTTGAAGGGAAAAAAAAACTTGAAAACGTTATATAGGGATTATATCTAAAGCTTGAGCAGTTTATAATAAAATAAACAGGTAATAATAAAATATTAATTAGAAGTATTTAAACTGATTTCAAATTACAATTATGTGATTGTGATAACTTCTTAAATTTGTTTATGTTTTATAAATTAACGCTTTTTTTTAAAAAAACATCAATAACTATATCTTTTACAGTTTTTTAGACAGCTTGTTAGTTGTAAACTTTCTAAAACAGACACCTATATATCTTTTAATCTGCATAAAAAGTTGCCAAGTTCATTTAGTTTTCAAATATACGTTATCTAAGCAGATATTTATTCAAATGTACTATAATAACTTAAAACTTTGGTTAAAAAAGGATGTTTAAGTTTGGTTTGGCCAGGCAGTCTATCAATTAAAAAAAAAATTTAATTTTAAAAACTTTTTCTGGTCTGGTTTATTAACGCGCTCTTTAAAACTACAGTTTATGGTAAACATTTTTTGATGCTATGCAAGAGACATGCAAGAGTATATATATATATATATAAATATAAATATATATATATATATATATATATATATATATATATATATATATATATATATATATATATATATATATATATATATATATATATATATATATATATATATATATATATATATGTATATACATATTTATCAATATGTATGTATCAACTAAATGTATAAAATTATTGATTAAATCTAAAATGTTTAATTTAAGTAAAGCTAATACGTTGTTAAATGTTCCAATACACTGAGTAAATTATGAATAAAATATTGTTTTTTGGCCACCTAAGTGAAAAAAGTACTTTAGCCAATATATCAGCAACGTTTTAGCAGTATATTAAAAACTTGCCGGGCCCCCTTTACCTCCGGGCCCCAGTGTTAATGGCCCATCATCCCCCCTATGTGGGGGCCATGTCGCAAAGTATAAAAACGATGAAAAAGTAAGATTACTCATAATAATTGCTTTAGTGAAATTACCCATTACTTAAAAATAATATCTTATATGTAAGTAAAGATATTCATAACCAAACAGATTAGATAATTAAGGAAATAATTAAAAAAAGTAACAACTATAATCTACAGATGAAAAAGAAATTAACATAATTTTTATTAAATTTGTTGACAAAAAATATTAATTTTAAACACATTTAAAAAATTCGTTTTGAAACAATATATAAGATCAATTGGAAACTGTATATTTATTTTTATAACCGTTTAATATATATCAATCAATCAATCAATTAATATATTCTGAAATAGATATTACATTCACGGAAGTTTACAAATAGTACATGTACTAATCTTAAGTAAAAACCTTGCAAATAAGAGCTAATAAATATATCGTTAATAGCAATAATAATAGTAATCAATAGCAGTAATGAGTAGTAAAAGTTGAAGAAGTAATAATAATAATAAAAACAATAAAATCATAATAATAAAAGTATCAACAATTAAAAAATTACAACAATAAAAATGAAAAAAATTACTATTTTCATAACACAAATAATAGTAATCTAATAATAGTAGTATTTGACACATATTTATACATACATATATAGCCACATACACATACTAATACATATAACAAAAATGTAAATGTTATATAAAACATATACATATATTCAAGCACGTACACTCACACATTCATATAAACACATACTTATATCCAACTGTATTGTATACCTATATAATATACACAAACATATATACATACACATATATATATATACACACACACATACATATATATATACACACATACATACACATGTACATATATACATATATACATACATATATATATACACATACACACACACATATATATATACATACATACACATATATATATATACATATATATTCACACTCAAATACACACAATTACATATACATACAAAAATACATATATACATAGACATACATAAACACATACATACATACACATACAAATATGTATACATAAATACACAAATACATTCATATACACATATACATACACACACATATACATACACATATACATACATATATACACATATATACATATATATATATATATACACACACATGCATACATCTATATACATACACACACACATACACATATAGATATATAAACATACAAACACGCACACACATACATATCCACATTTATACACTTACACATATTAAACTTATACATATACATATACGCACACTTACAGACATACATTCATCAAATACATTTATACACAGATACACATATACAAATCTTTGGATATGTTAAGTGTATTTTTTTAGGAAGGAGTGTAATAGGTTGCTTTTAAAAACATAGATTGACTGAAGAGCTATATATATATATATATATATATATATATATATATATATATATATATATATATATATATATATATATATATATATATATATATATATATATATATATATATATATATATATATATATATATATATATATATATATATATATATATATATATATATATATATATATATATATATATATATATATATATATATACATATATAAACATATTAATAATTATTTGATTCAAATTATTACAATTTTTTTTTATGTTATCTGTTTGTAAAATTATGCAATTTTAAAAATAAAAATGATATTAAAAGTAGTTTATATACCAAGTGAAAAAAATCAAGTGGTCCTTTTCCAAATCTTTGAATATAACTAGATTCGTCTAATAAACTGCATTAAGTGTTAAGGAAAACGGTAAACCTAATACCAGATTATAATGCGGGTAATAATGTAATATTAAGTAGAAGTCCTTGAACTGAATTCAAATAACAATTATGTGGTTGTGATAACTTCATAAAATTGTTTATGTTTTATAAATTCATGCCAAATTTTTATTAAAAACATTAATAAATATATATTTTTATTTTTCAGACAGCTTGTTAGTTGTAAACTTTTTATAACAGACACCTATCTATATTTTAATCTGATTGAAGAGCTCGCAAACTCTATTAGTTTTCAAATATACGTCATCTAAGTAAATTTTTATATAAATGTACTATGATAATAATAAACTAGTAAAAAAAAAAAAAGGAGGATCAAGTGGGAAAAAAAGTGTATAAGGAAAAAAGAAAGTATAACAATATGAAAATATAATTTTTAAGTTAAAAAAGAGTTTTAAGTCCAGACTTACAAATAACTTAGTATAGTCAATGCATCAGATAGTAAAAGACCTTAACTGGTTTAAAGGAAAGTAAAACCTTAAAAACGTGATGTTATAATATATCTTAAGTTTGAGCAGTTCAATCATTACTAAAATTGATACTTTATTAGCTTTGATGAATTGAAAACGCCTATCAAATATATATGTTACATAAAAACCTTGACAATTTTGCTTATTCAAACAATTTACAGTTTGTTTTAAGATGAGATAGTAATGTTCACATTTGGTAAAGATCAGCTAAATGAACCTGAGTAAACAAAAACGCTACTATCGCAAAGTATAAAAACGATGAAGAAGTGGAATTACTCATAACTTATTACTTAAATTTAATGGCTTATCTGCAAATAAATATTTTCAACATAATCAAAAATATTAGATAATTTATATGCGAATTAGGAAATAATGAAGAAACGTAACAACTTTAATCTACAGAAGAAATTA